TTCCTGCTTTGAAACAAACAGACCACAAGCAACAACATTTAATTGTTTATATTACAGATTAAGCTCAATGAAATCGAATTCCTAAGTATTAACTTTAATCCATAAAAATATGTAACAAAACAAACGTCATGACAGCAATCCTGAATTTTCCCATACCGTATCCACCAAAACATTAGCTCGAAATACTGCTCCAATCCAGCTCCCTCAAATTTATGCAGCATATTACGAGTTGTCGGTGATACACATTTTCGTATTTGTTCTGATAACAATGATAATATTTCACCTCCCACAAGATCATCCTACAATAAAAGCAATAATATCAATATCAGTTATGAATGAATCGACTATTAACAACATTGAACAATAATCATTATCATTTGATTTATGCAAAGTTTAAATGAAGAAAAATGAAAGCACTGCTTCTTTTTAATTAAACAAATAAGAAATTTATTTAATAACAGATAATTTTGCAGTCCAACTGTTGCAGTTAAATATGACAGATAATAAACACAATAACCATAAGTTCCCTATTTTTGAACAAAGACCTCAAAAGCATTAAGCATTTAAGTAGCTGATAACTCTTATAGCACCTGAAAATAACCTAATTGCCAAAACAAAAATGACTGAAAGGCAATCATTATTTTTATGACAAGTGACTTCCAATTTTGGCATTATTCCAAATGTTTTTTCAGCTTATTTTTAGTTCGTTTTTATTGATATTCCTAAGTTCAGTCCATCTGCACTGCAATCCTTATTTTAGTGATAACTTATCATGATGATTTCATAAAAACTTAAAGAACAGAAATACAGTGGTTATTTAGAATTCTAAACTTTTAATTCGATTAAGATTTATCATTTTCTAACTAAAAATGAAAACCATATATCTTAATTAGAGTTGCAGTATAATACCTTGATTATAGTTGCAAGCACGTCATTCAGTTGTTTCGTTATCTGCATATATGGACGCATATATGTGGCAACTTCTGCAAGCGTCAGTGATTTTTGATCGCTCCGGTTCTCGAGCTCCAACTTAACTAATAAAGGCATTATTTCTAAATTGAAGAACTCCTCAGCCGCAGATCCAATAGCGAGTGCTACCCGACCACGCGATAACTCGCAACATATATCTAAATATAATATGCAAAATTTCATACTATGAAAGGGAAATTTTTTCAAAATTTTGTAAAATCACATAATGCGGAGATTGGCTAGAAACAAATGATGTGATCATTGTAATAAACTTATCAGCAAGTATTTGATTTTATTTATAGAAGTTCTGTTGTTTCAGTAGTTTCTATTCAGAAAATATCCTCATTATCTCTAAAGATATACTGTCAGACTGAGAAAAAAAATCAATAGTGTATAGTGAAATATTAGCCCCATTGCCAGCTGATATCAATTAATAAAAGCTGTGAATGGAGCAGCATATAAGCAAGCTTTTTCATATAAGATCGCTTTTCATCGACAGTCATACTATCGGCAAAAAATATACTGCAACACACCTACCTAACAGTCCTAATTCTTGAAATCCAAATACGAGTATTACTTTTGATATAATATGAGTATTACTTTTACAAACTTACTTTTGATATTATGTCGAAGTTGAATCAGCGTAGCGGCAAAAGGGAGACATGCATCAGCATACAGTGCGCTGCGCAAACAAGTATCTGCACTTGGATTTACTGTCCACGTAACGATATCACCCTCTTTAACAAATCGTATACTGTTGCCTTGATAAGCCTATTATAATCATCACATTTTTGAAAAAAAAAACGAAGTAAACAGTAACTTTAATAATTTTAAGAATTTTCTACATTAATTTTTACCAAAACGGTATTTTATGTTGAAGCCACAGCTACGCACATGTCACTATAATAGAATTTGGAAAGCAATTTATGTATGATGTGGTTATTCAAATATTTATTTTAACTCACTGAGTAATCTGATCATCGGTAGAATCAGTAATTACTAAACTATAGAATTTCTAATTTAATAATCATAATCTGCTATGAATTTAAAAATATTAACCATATAAACGAGAAACAGATCCTTCACTAAATGCTGTTCCTGTGATCGCAGTGTAAGCGGCGAGAGATCGATATGTTCCACCTATAGATTGAAAATGTTAGGGCATTTCTTAAAATTTAACACTATTTTTCCAGTTTTGTAAATTCTCAATTTTCAGATTTGAAAATTCAAAAATTACAAACATTTCCATGAATCTAGCAAATTTGAAATATAGACTGTATTCCAAATTCGGTGAATTCGTGAATAAGTCGTCTTATTTTAAATTTTTATGAATTTGGGCTATGAAATGCATGAAAGCTTAAAACAATACAACCAAACAATTAAAAAATCTGGAAATTTTACATGGATATGTGTAAATACATAAAAAAATACTTAAATAAATATCTTAAAATGACAAATTTAAATGCATATAATCAATCAAGCTGTTTCTTCTTGAAGTTTGCAAAAGAAAGGCAGTGAGCAAAAAATAAAAAAGAAATACCGGTGTAAAGCAAGCATCCGGTTGTGATGAGCAATATTCGCTGGGTAAACTGAACGATGAAAACGGTAAAATTTTCGATACTGCAAAAATACGTTAGTAAGTTAATGATAACAAATAATCTAAGTGAAGAAAGAAGCATATGCATAAACATAGTAAAGATGTAGTATTCAAGTACTATTAACAATTTATAATAATATACCATAAAGAATTTGGCAATATCACAGCTTTTTAACATTATCAAAATTCTATCTACCGATGTGCTAAGTATACTCATATTCAGTGATCAATTGATAAACTTTAAATATTTATACAAACAAATGATTTAGATGAATGTCAGTTATTGATTAAATAACATTAAGCACTCACTGGATGAAAAAATTACACTTCTTACCTACAGTAAGTTCGAAAACATTCTCTGCAAAAATGAGATAAGTAAAAAATCTATTTTGGTTGAACTACATAATTTAGATTCATGTGTTTAGATTAAATTTTAGATTAAAAAAAACATGCCAATTTGCTTTCGACATCGCTTCCACGTGTCCATTTCAAATAAGCGTTAAACAATGTCTGAAAAAAATTGAAATATTGATAAGGATCAAAGTGGCAATTAGGAATTGCAATGTTCAATTAATAAACAAAAAAAAAAAAACGAGCGGTCCAAGGAAATATAAAATTCCAAAACTGTGTAAGACATCAATTTTCATGACGACTCAACGCTTTTCGCTGCACGAATTTGAGGATAATTGAAGCACAATATATTTGAAATTGGACTTTATTCTGACTGTGTGGCTGAATTGAGGCAGTGTTGCGTGGAAGGCTTACGTCTGCACGTGTTGATTTTGCGTGATACTTGACTTGTTTATGCCTAAGAAGTGATTTGTTATGTATGTGCGTTAGTTTCATGGTATTTTCAGACGCAAAAATATATGTCATTTATCGTTGCGTGAAATCTGCAAAGATATTTATGTTCCAATGGTGGAATTTTCCACTTTTTGATCGGCTTACTTGTTTATTCCATTACAAATTGATGCCTGATGCAATCATGAAATTATGAGAATGGGCAATGTGGAAATTATAAGAATGAAGGTTCAATGTTAGACTGCTTATTAGACTACTCATACCCTTTTAACGTGGCAGTGATAAAATATGAAACTATCGGATGGATTAATTTAGAAATGGTGAAGCGATATTTACGGAATGCAGCTATCTTTGTGGAAATAGTGTTTTCTTAAATTCGACGACCACAAAATAGGAAAACTATTATGAAAGACGATCGTAAAACTTGTTGCTTAAATAATTATGATTATTAAGTGAAGAGAAAGGGAAACGTATAACATCGTTATCCAAAGTTATCCAAAAAAAAATTTAGGGTTAAAAATTTTTCATCACTGTATACATAATTAAAAAGGGAGAAAAAAAGAAGATAGAAAATAATGTTTTAGCTAGAAAAAGGACAAAAACCGATACGAATTTTAAGAGAACACATAGCAAGGACTAACAGAATAATTTGAACAATTCTCTGTCTCTGGTTCGCATTATTCAGATTTTTTTATGGGGAGTTTAATTTATAACTTATGTTTCTTTTTAAAGAAAATGTTGTAAAGAAGTCCTTCGAATTTGCTAGTTGAATAGACGTCCAGTTTTACATAACTTGCAAGATCATGCTTTACGCAAAATCATACTACTATGTCTGTCGGCTTAGATGGCTTTGATTTGTTTTGGATGACTTGCGTATAAGAGGTGATTAAGATGCTATTAATAGTGCGTATAAAAGCTGATTAAGATGCTATTAATAGACCTGCTTCCTTAGTAATCAGTGAATGAAATGCTTAAATTGGTTAAACTCGTAACGATCAAGTTGGTGTTTTCCACTTCATCAGGTCGTTACCAAATACAGCCTATCATGAACTAGATAAGTGCGAAGTAATTAAACAGTTAGAGTAGTTGTAGAAAAATGATGAATTAAGATATAGTGATTGAATATGCGTTGTAGAAAAGTGCTTGAATCATGAAATAGAAGTCTAAAAAATAATGGAAGATTGTTAGTTACTGTAGTAACACAAGCATAATAAAATAAAAGTATTCGTGGACCTTTCATTTCTACTTGTTTCAAATGTAATTAATTAGACGTACGTTTGGATATTGCTTTGTTCAATTTCTTCCTTTCCTCTTATATTAATATAATCCATGTTTTCAGTACGCGCTAACAGCTTCGTCACCAGTGTGTGTCGTGTGTACTGTGTGCGTGCGAGTGTGTCTGAGTGAGTGTGCGCGTGTTACAAGTGTGAAATATTTTTTTTGGAAAACGAAAAGTGATCGAAAGGTCAGGACTTGCAACCAGATAGCGGAAATAGTCTTTGACACGTGAATCATCATCCATCTCCTCAGGTGTGTGACACTATGACAATGATGACTGTTGCGGCTTTGCAAAAAGCCGGTGAAGCATTACTGTCATCCGAGAAAATCGAAATACCACTTCTTGATCAGGTATTTTTCTCATGTGATTGTTAGATCCACTGTACATAATCTTGGTTTTATCAGCCTTAATCTAGCTATACTTATCACTCATTATAATCTTAGATTGTCTACTGCTGTTATTTTTTAATCACATTTTTTTATGTCTTTTCGTGACTTCTCTTGCCTACATTACCTATTCTCTTTGCTTTCTAAGCTCTAAAAGTTGCCGATCAAATTTCTGGATTTTTGCTGGTGATAAAACGAGGGAAATCAGAAGCTTACTTTCAGGTGGTGAATATAATGAATCAGTCGACAGGTGAAGCACAGCAACTTGCATCAAAGATTCTTACAGAACTGAAACAAAAGGACACATCGTGGACACGTGTTGATGGTATTTTAGAATATAGTCAGTTAATGGAAACTAAGTATTATGCGTTACAAATACTTGAGTCGTTGATTGAAACTCGTTGGAAATCATTACCACGTGAACAGTGTGAAGGTATGAAGTACATTCAGTTACTATAAAGTTACGGTGAAATATCATTCATTTCAAAGAAAGCGATCATTCAAAATGGTATGCTTAATGTGACGGAGGTAGTATGATGGGCATTCTTAGATATTGTCGTACTCATGTAGTTGAGATAAAACGATTATAACAGGAGCATTCGGTGTTTAGTCAAATTTCTATAATAAGCGGTAATGTTGGAAAATTTTTTGAGTGGGACTTTTGTAGATATGTATTAGAATCAAGCTGAATTACAATAATGCCGGCTAAAATTTTAGATATGCATTTGAAATGAGCTGGGTGTTGCAATATATCAGTAATACTTTAAAGATATAAGTGGAATATATGCGCAAGTTCCAAGTATTTAACATGGTATTCCATTACATCACATATTTTAGGCATTAAATCGTTCATCGTTGAGCTGGTGATAAAGA